GCTGTGCCTATGGTGCCAAATGAACTGCCAAATCACACATTGACAGTCATGTCAGTGTTATCAGCCAATCAGCACACTCACACATCATGTTTTAACAGGTAAACAGTACATTTATACCACATACAGTAACACTCTCACATTTATGATATTGGGACTTCACTGGAAGGATTATAAATGCAGTAATCACCAGCAGCAAAACAAATATGCTTTCTACAGTGCCCTGATAATAAAGTGTCAGTACATGAATTGGTGTGTAATAATTTGTTGTAATAACTACCGTGATTGGTCGCTGTATACATAATATACTTCATGCTCTTTTAGGTCTCATATCTCCTGAAGTAGACTGACAGATTGCAGGAAACGGGTGTAGAGAAGGATAAACATAAGTAACCTGAAAGTGTGTCCAAACTATGTGACGCAGCAGATTGATGCATTTTCATCAGAAGAGTAACAACATTTTTTCCCCTGGGGTATATCCTTCTGGATCATCCTCCTGGCTGAGCAACAAAATATCCTTAAACACTGGGCCAGTCTATTCCATTTCATATACCTGAGTGGTTTCAGGAATTACCTCATATATTTGCTAAGCAATAAAAGCTGGCATTTAGGTGATAGAGAATGTTTTCTGATCGCTTGAGCAGCCATAATAATTTAAATCCCCATTAGATAAACTTTGCTGGGAAAGTGCTGTCTCTTACTTTCTACAGACATGGAAGTTCCTCAGACAACTTCATGAGTGTTGAGGCTTGAAATGCAGGGTTGTTTTATGCTGAGAAATTGGAATCCAAATGCTTACTCAATCAAAGAGCAAAGTGGAGAAAACTTTCCATGTCTCCTGGGTGTCTGTCATTTCATTGAAGTTCACAATCTTAAATGGTACCTGCTAGTTCAAACACCTACTTCCCTTATTCCAGTCGAGTTCAAATATATGTTACCATCAACAACAATTATAGTCTTTGTAAGATCTTCCACCAACACAGCTTCAAACTGGGAGCATTTGTAAATTCATGCTCCAAGTGACTTAATACACTAACAACAAAGTGAACCATTTAAAAACTGTCAGCACTTCAGAAAAAATGCTTCTAATGGATAATCACCGTCCCACAAGTATCACCCTCCAGCAATAAATGAAAGTTGGGTATTTGTATGTACGGTGGGGATAATCAGACAGAGAGGTATCTATTTACAGATCCAATGTACAACATTCAGGAGGATCCATTGGCAGATATTGAATATAATATTCATAGGTAGGTTTTCATTATTGTATAATAACCTGAAAATAAGAGTTAATGTGTTATCGTTACCTCAGTTATCTACAAGGCGGAGTGGGTCCTCTTCCACAGAGGTGCCATATATCTACAGAGGCCCAGAATGGACAAACCCTGGCTCTAAACAGGGCCTGAGACATTTTCTGCATGTTTTGCAGCCACTGAAATTTCTCCTACACACTTGGAACGGGAGGGCGAGTTGAGTGGGCTGTAATCTGTCATTACAAGGCTAGATGCCGTTAAATCCTACATACTGGTTCCTTCAACACAACCCCCCCCCCAAATCTTTCACCAACAACATTGTTTGAATTCACCATTTAGAATTAAAACATTGTGAAATCTTCTGGTGGGGCCTAACATACAGTGGCTGATGTTAACCTGATCATATTACATAATACAGGAAGATAAACTTAATTTGTGTAGCAATCCAATAAAACATCAACTCAAACAGAAGAAAACAGTAGAAAATAGTAATTAGCACAATGAAATCAACAACATACAATAAAACACAGGTTATAAAAGGCGTTTTATGAAGTGTAATTCTGAATCAGTTAAAGATTCAGCCACAGTGAGGTAAATTATTACCAAGGTTAAGATCCAAAACTGCAAATGCTGTATGAATCTACTTATGATTGGGTTGAGGGTTAAAGCAGGTTTTAAGTGAATGAGAGCTTCTGCTTAAAATGGGGACAAGTGAAACTAGACCGGGGCAATAGTCTGATACACTGAAAGTCACTGACTTACTTAGTGGGTTCCTTCCAATTAGAAACATTTTTCCTCAAACAACGAGACAGGGTAAGCCAAGATGAGCTGGATTACAGACAGCCTGTTTTTTTTCTTTTCCCAGAAATCCTTCTCTTCTTATCTATAAACAGCTCTGAACTCCATCTCAAATATCTTTGATGAACCCAGGGAGCTCAAATCAAATCAGCTGTAGACAAAGACAGGTCAGTCAGCTAATTTATTTGTATGATTAGAACGCAAGCTGTTACTATTGAAAGATCTGTTCATCCACAAATATCACAGATGCTTATTAACAATATATCATATCATTGTAAACAAGCCTTTCACCTTTGTAGGTATGTCACTCCTACCTCTCTGTCCATTTAACCTGTTTTGATTGAAGCTGCGGTAAAATATATCTGGGATGAGTGGAGGACTACTTATTTTACAGTATAAAATATTTTAAACAATATAGTCTTATAAACAGTGTATTGACTTCAGTCTTTGTCAAAAACGGTCTACTTTTATTTAAAGTAACTTGACTTTTATTGTATCCATAATGCACCAATATTCGTAATGCTCCTCTGAACATTTTCTTTAAATCTTATGTTCCCTAAAGTTTGTGAGACAAGGGTAATGTGCTTGATTATCTGAAGCAGATGATTCATTAGCTTGAGAAATAAAGTTACGATGTGTTTTATAAGTGAAAGTAAAAGGGGGCGGGGGAGTGGAAAGGGAAATCTGTTCCAAAAGAAATTCTAAACACAGACAAAGACACAAACTAAGTGTCCATCATCTCTATTTGTGTAGCAGCTGAGAAGGAGAGTTTGGATGTTATGAGTCTGAATGTGCAGACAGAGTGGCAATTAGTGGCTGCTTCCTCCAAGGTCTTTTCAATTTATATGTCAAGCATAACAGAAAAGTAACTAAAAGCATATTCTATCTGGAAAATAACCTGACCATGATCAGATGAGATGTTTGCACAAAAAATAATAATTACAGCAACAGAACTTATTCTATCAATCTAACAACTTTCCCATCTGTCCACCATTCACGTCATTAAAGAAAACATAGAAACTCAGTTTTAAAACAGTGTTTGGTGTGGACTTTATTAGGTGTATTGAGCATTTAGATGGTGCATTATTTAAATAAAACAAACTGACACTGTCAGAAGTATCAAAATCTTGACCCAAGGACTGCCAGCATGCCAAACATCTCATTAAAGGCAAATTTCATCAGACCTTTTCATAACAAGAATTTAAAATAAAATTAGAAAATGCTTCATGACTCCAGCAGCATGTATTTATCAAATCATATGACTATTTGAATATGTTAAAATGCTTTTGCTTTTGGTTTATGTAGATATAACAAGCAAGGGTTATTAATAGACCTAAATTTCACCCCAAATGTACCATTTATATCAATAATGGCAAGTCAATATGTCATTATTCTATTTTTCATGCATTTATATAAGCACAGGGATTGTGACTCATATTGTCGTGATCATTGATGCTTGTAGTCCTTGCCTATATCACTGTTATGGCAGCCTACGGTGACATTCATTGTGTGAAAAAACAGAGCTTCTTACAAGATTTTGCATCACTTAAAAACTTGGCCCTGACACTGTTGTAGAATGTGTGTGAAAATAACCCAATGTTCTTGAATGGTAAGTCCGATAAGCCAATTAAGGAAGGAACAGTGAACAACTTGTCAACATTCACTAACAATAAATCCGCTGCAGATAATTTCATAAGCCTTTTTCCTCAAACCCGCCAAAGCTTGCATTCTTAGTTGTCCTGTCAAAACTCATTAGACTCTCTTGCTGGCTAATACATTTGGACCCTCCACTGCCTTCCTGATAAACATACACATGATCCATTGTGACAGAATAATAAAACACAGGCAAAAAAGGGTGCAATTAGGTTTATAATCTATGGAGATGAGCAATTAATGCCTGGTAGGAAGCTGCAATTCTGACTTTTAATCAGGCCAATGTTTTCTGTGGCTATAAACTCAGTGATGGACCCTCATGAATAATGCATGCTTCGTTAACACTGATGTTCCTATCACCCAACGTGATGATATGGCTGAGCACAATGGATCACATTATACCTGATAGATCATGCGTCACAATGCTACTGATAACATTACGTGTATGGACCACAGGACTGATGGCTCTACTATGGCCTTGATGAATTTTACAGCTACTTGTATATCTAGTCTAACTATAATCATGAGTAAATAAATGTAGCTGCCATTTAAATCAGAACAGATAAAGATCAATAAAAAAAAAAAAAAGTAAATTGTTAAAGGAATAATTGGACATTTTGGGAAATATCCTTATTTGCTTTCTTGCCAGATGAGAAGATTGATCCTACTTTAATTTCTGTCAGTGAAGTATGCAGCTACAGCCAGGATCTATCTTAGTTTATCATAGCATAACAACCAGAAGTGGAACGCACTACCCTGGCTCTGTTATGTGCCTACTACTACAGCTGACATGGCTGCGTCGCACGCTTTTCAGATGGGGCCCAGAAGCAGCTCTTCACTATGTTCCGCTTAAAATACGTGCTTATTCTATTTTTAATGGATGCTGCATCAAACTGCCCAGAAAAAGACTGAGCCATGCAGGAAGTCAGACACAGGAATGGCATAGAGCATTCAGTCAATTTTAAAAAAAATGTTTGCAAGTCAACAATAACAGGCAGGCAAAACGCTTCACTTCTCAAACAATCCCATTGGGGTATGAAGCCATGTGGAGCACAGAACAAAACAGTGTCACAGTTGCAACATTATAGAGCTGTGCCCAGTGGAATCAAGGCATAATGGCTGGTATCAATCTCAATCCTCATCTGTCGGCAAGCAATAAAGTTCACAAAAATGTCATAAATGTTCCTTTAAGAAGGGTTTAGCGACTGCGTTTAGTGACTGGAAAAAACTCCATGGTGTAAGAGAGATTTTAGTGTTGATGCAAACTGCTCCTTTATGATGCAAAATCAAGGGCATTACCTTCAGCACTGACACAGGTCACATTCTGGACGGCGGTTCCAGGACCACAGGGGCTTTTAGTGGGAATGCATCTTTCTTCTTGTTGGACCTGCCACAGGAAGCAGGTGGGATCCTCACAGGGGACAGACTCCACCAGATGAGGGCAGGTCTCTAGAGGACTGCTGGACTCCCACAACACCTTTCTCCTCCTCTGTCTAAAACCTGACAGAGAAAAAGAGGAGAGGGAGGGAGGGAACAGAGAAGGGTTGTCAGAGAAGCAGCTGATATTCCTGTACAAAAAATAAAGCAACAGTAAGCATGTTGCCTCACACCAACTAACCCCTCTCAGCCAATCAATATATTAAGATGTAGACTTCACAGGGAATTTTCTCTGTGATCAATTATTTAAGTCTTTTTTATCAGCTATGCTTTACTTAGCAGCAGCACTTCCCAACAAAAGCTATTATGACTCACCGATAACCATTAAAGGTGAATAAAGAAAACAGGAGTTTGAAAGAGGAAATGCTGGAGGAGTCTTTGTTCATTTAACCTTACTTGCTTGTGGCATACCACCATGGCTTCTCTACAACAAAACTGTTCTTGTTAGAAAAATATATATATTTCAGCTGCAATTCTTTTTTAGTACAATTACGCTTACAGAAATAAAATGATGTTTGATATAGGTATGCCCTAATCTGAATTAAGTCTTTTTGTCATTCATCTGTTAAGTTACTACAATTTTTCTATCTTGCAATAGAGGGAGAAGTGTTACATCTGTTCATTAGACTCAGCAGCAGCTGTCCACAGTGTGATCTATTAAATAGCTTTGTGCTGAGTGACAAGTTTCCACTGCCTCCACATGGAAACTATGACACTGTAAATTCAGGTGATTTTCAGGTGCCTTGTGTTGGTGTTGTTGAATCTATATGAAACTGCTAGTAAAGTTTTGATACACCCTAAGAGAAAATTTGGGAATTAAGTTTCACTGATAAATGGCCAGACTTCACCTACAAGCTGCCAAATGTCAACGTGTGCCCTTTTTAAAACCAGCACATTAAACCTTACCCCATAATTGATAAAAAAAAATTAAAAAAAATCTCCACTTGCATCCCATTTCCCAAGTGAGAAGAGAGACAAAGGGAGGTAAGGGAAGATAATGAGCCATATGGCACGGCAAAAGAGAGGTTGTTTTAAAAAAAAAAGTGGGAAAGTCTGAGTGATTGGGATCAAGTTTCAGTAGTTGGCAAGACATTCACAATGACACCTGTCTCTCCAATTACTGAGTCTCACTGTCCTTTCACTGCTGCTGCTGTTACTGTTACTAAATTGGGGGCTGCCAGCTGAGATGTGCTGGCTCCGCACTGGCACCTGTACTGAACATCTCTGTTGTGGTAGAAAGGAAATGACCCTCATAACAGCTCATTTCAATTCAGATTTAATCTTGAACTGTTGTGCAAACAACCGCACCAACATTGTGTTGTTGAATCATACTGTTTCCTCCTGTGATTTACAAAAAATGCAATGTACAAATGTGGGTATGTGTACAGGTAGTGTTGCACTAATTTTATTATTGTTATCATTATTCTCTAGGTCTAAGAGAAAAGGCACGCACAGTAACACAGTATGAACACTTAATAATTGTCTAGTAGCTAAAAACAGGACATACTGTACACATATGTCCTGTTTTTGATTCCTCTGGATGTAACATGACTAAAAACAAGCACCAGGACTGAGCAGTTAATGTTATCTTATCTGTGAGGTCAGGCCTGGAGAAATAAGCAATAAAGATCTGCAGTTTGGTGTGGTTTGACTGTGTAGCTTCCTTCCTCAACCTAGCTATTTTCAAGGCATTTTTGTAAAGTGACAAGCAACATGGGTAGAGAAATTATAGGGCAATGACAAAGGTCTCCAGAACGACTAAACTGGGGACGTCACAGCTACTTGGTCTACGATGTCATTTCAAGAGATATTTACTGAGCCTACCACAAATTATTGTCAGCAGTATTAAAACTTTCCATCACAGCAAATATTGTTTTTTTGTTTCACTTTAGCAAGATAAGACTACACATGTAAATGAGCCCAGCTGCAGTTCCTCGGATTAATTCCGCTAATCTATAAGATCTGATGCTGTACTGTGTAAGACACACAGTGCATGTCTGGAATGCAATACAATGAATGAAAGTCCTTACACTAAGAGAAGACACTTTTTAGAACTGCGGTCCAATGACGTATGAGAAAAACATTATAACAGCTGGTATGATAGGGCGGCAGTAGTTCAGTGTGAAGGGACTTGGCTTGGGAACCGGAGGGTTGCCGGTTGAAGCCCCACAGACCACAATATGGAGTGCGGACTGGTAGCTGGAGAGGTGCCAGTTTCACCTCCTGTGAGGTGCCCTTGAGCAAGGCAACATAACCCCTAGAAACTGCTCATGGGGCGCTGCTAACGCGCAGCCCTATCACTCCACCATCTCTCTCCCTGTTGCATGTCCACAAGTGCATGAAGTGTGTATTTCAGCCTGTGTGTGTATAAAAAGAGTGAAAAGAACAATTTCCCCTAGGGGATTAATAAAGTATATCTATCTTAGCTTGATATTGTTAGCACAATAAAAAAACCGGTGACATTAAAAGGCCTCCTGGAGTTGTGTTAGAGACTGGTTGTTCTTAAAAATATTACAAAATGTATGCTGTAAATTAGTAAAAATCAAACAGACCTTCTTAATAAGCATTTAATTAGCTGATTAAATCATATCACACACAGTGGACCAGCTGTGAGGCATCAATAGTCAGGAGAAATACATATTCTAGCAGGAGGTTAGGGAGGCATTAGGTGGAAATGTTTTAAAAGTAACATTCTGTTGCATCGCTGGACATTGGCCTTGTGTTGTGGTCCTGAACAAGCTCTTGTAAACCTTATATGGGTCATATAATTTGCAACAATATTCCTTACCATTGACACTAAATTGTCTGAACTATCACCAAGATGAATCAACTCTGACTTATCTGCTCGGACCTGCTTAAAAAAGTGCCATCGACTCACGTTAACATTAAAGTTCAGACTGAATTTTCTCTGAGGCAGTTGGCAATGATAGATCAGGAGCAGCAGTCATTTGTATAAATTTGTATTCCCTCTTCCCATATTTTGTGCCTAGAATACTTATTATATACAATTTTAAGCAGTGCCAATTTTCTTCCACTTAACTGTGCAAAACCTCAGTGTGGGCTTTTAGTAAATACAGAGAAAGAGAAACTGACTGTTAACGTCTAAAGCAGAATTCCGCATGAAGTGGCATCTTAGACCACTGGATTACCACATCATTCTGCCAGATTTTAACAAAGTACTATCTGCTGGTTTACCTTGATACACACAGTGTGTGTAATGAAGAAGCTAAGCAGTTTTTGCATTCGTTCACCTGTGTCCGTAGACGCATTGTTGGAGGATATGCTCTGTTTTCAATAGAAAAAATGACAATGGCAGTGAAATCTAAAATGGGATATAACACGACATGAACAACAAATGGCTCTAAATCTGGTTCAAATACGCAATTAACAATAACATGGTCAATATTTTGACACAATCATTATCATTAAGCCAGTTACCTAATGGATTACCTAATTGGCCAATATATAGATGTCTAAAACACTGATTCTCCCAAAGCTGGATTCTTCATAAAATATTTATTTCTTTATGAAAAGGTTTTTACTGAATGGACATCTCATGCTCTAATCTACAGTCTCTATTGACAACTGAGCTTTTCCAATTCCCTGATGACATAGAAAAATGTTCTTGGAGATGAAAAACGATAGGATGAAAATGCTTTTTGTAGGCTCCAGCAGCTCCCCCAGTAAATGTCCACGACACTTGAACAGCAGCAGCTTTTCTTTTGGAGCCATACTCATTTTACCACAGCTCTGACACTTGGCAGAAAGGTTCCACATTCTTTCCCTCCACAGGTGGACCTGTCTAACCCCTGGATACCCACTCTACAAATTACATCCCCTGACCCTCTACTGGTGTGAGGCACCAGTTCAGGAGTCTGATCCGTGGTGCTGCCCGAGTGTGCTCTTGAACAGCAAACAGACTATGGATCGATTGCAGTATTGCCCACAGCACTTACAGCTATTCACATCCAAACCACAAAAAACAATTTGGCGTGGGCATGCCCCCATGGATATTAATAATTGAAAGGTTTCTTGGTCATACCAGGTTTATTTCAGGGAAACAAGGGCCATCCAGTGATTTTCAACACACTGTTATTCAGACATACTGCTCCCTTCAGCTCCGTGACTTCTAGTAAAGGCATTACTAAAATTCTATCAAGTGACCTCCCATGCTCAATTCATTTTCCAACATAGCTGCAAAATGTGATAGGCCAAGATAACATGAAAAAAATGTGAAAAGCACATAAAGCTACTGCGAGGCAATTTAAATTTGTAATTTTCCGGAGAGCAAGCTGGGGCGGCATAAGCATCTTGGCTGGTTGGCTCTTCTACCTTAGCGCTGGGATCCCACGGGCCTTTCAGTTAGAAACGGATCACAGTTTATTCTGATGTTGTGAAACATAAAGGCTAAGTGCACATTCAATAGGAGCAAGAAATTCTCTGCAGCCCAAGGACCACAGGCAAACGACTTGGATCATAACAATGCCGACTACACAATAACTGTTCATTGCTTCGCAGGCAACAGAGCTCTCTGAAAGTGATTTTCTATTGGTTTCATACTCTATCTGCTGTGTGCTGTGGATCTTTATGAATGCCATCAAAAGACAGTATGCCACTAGAGAGCCTTGTGCAAAACAGCATGTGCTGCGTTTTCCACTCCTTGAAATATATTAATGACACTGTCTGTGAGAGGAGCTGGCTCATCCCATAGAGATCCAGCGTTGGAGAGTGTGGGCACTGACCTGAACAATCCACACTTCAGTCGCTCCCCGGGGGGCTTTCATGCACATTTACTCACAGCAGGGGCGAGGTCATGCTGCCCTTTTAGCACAGCGCTAACGCAGTAACAGCACCGCCAGTGCCTCACACTGAAACACACACACACAAACACACACACACACACACTGCGTAGCCTCTCTGAAGCAGTCAGATATGACACTCGTTCACCTGTGAAAAAAGACAAGAACATTCAGACAGCACGAGCACGCTGAATACTTGAGCACACTTACTCTCTCTCACACACACACACACACACATACACACACAGACAGACAGGAAGCATCTTGTCTGCTGATTTCCATTCACCCTCCTGGGGACTGAGAGCCGAACTACAGGTGTGCTCTCTTTCTGTCTTTCGTTTGCTGTGGTTTATACGTGTACTGCCTTCCTCCAGAGCACACTTCCTCTCAGTCAGCCACTTATCAACAAACAATTTAGGATTCAAACATATACTGCCTCTCTCTCCTGCTCTGACAACATCGCTCTCTTGCACTGTCACTCTCTCTCCTAGCCTCCGTCAGCCTCAATAGCTTTCTCTCTTTCAGTTTCAGTGTTGCCAAAGCATGACAAAGTCTATTGTTTAGCATTCAAAACATGCTAAATTGAAAACATTAAACATTAAATGAGGTTAATGTAAAGTCCCTTGTTGCCCATATTGAAAGTAGTCAACTCTTAAGCAACAGTTGCTGTGAACAGCTGATTGTAAATGTACTACATGGCTATCTGCAATATAACTCAGCAGATAATTGTTTTTTGACTGGGTGCTTATGATATCACCACCGGTCCATCTGTGCCATTAGCAGTTTCAGTTTTAAATCATATCAGCTTGTTAGCTAGCTATCTGTACTATCTTTTGGATATGTGTCCATCCCTCTGTCCGTCCATCTGTCAAACATGATTCCGGATTCTGAGGGAACAGTATTCTGCTTTTCAAGACATTTTAATGGAGGATATATCTTGAAACAATATTTTTGGCATTTAAAAGAATATAGATTGTTACATCTGGTCACAGCAGCGATCATCCTTTTAATTTGCACATTAACTAGCTGGCAATAACAAGTGCTAGCTATGGTCAGTTACATCTTTATATTAACATCAGTTGCTTTGCTAATTTTAGTCCTCTGGGTGTTTTTTTTTTTTTTTGTAAGTAGAAGACATGTCTGTGAGAGATAAGACAAGATGCTTTACAATGTAGCAGTAGCACAGTTACCATGACTCATTTCTCATACTGAAATGCAAACTCTGTTTCTCTGGACACTGGACATTATGTTCTTGCACCACAAATGTGATTATGTGACAACTAAAGATTGCACACATTTCTTTCAGCTGTTATATGGCTAATGTTGCAGGGATAATACATGAAACAAGCAAATAAAACAGCTTTGGTTAAGTGCAAAGTATTGATTTGGTAAGGTTAGAATAGTTACAATAAACTACATAAATGAAAACTATACAGGTCTTTGGATGTGAACATGGGGTTGCAGTTGTGAGTGCACAACAAAACCTCTTTCAAAAAGCTACACATTTTCTGTTCATGTCACTTTAACAAACCATCAGTGCTGGGAGCGTTTCTCTCCTTTCAGTGCTTGAACATGTATTTTAAGACACTGTGCTCTTTTGATGAGACCATGCAGCCTTATCAAACTATTCATTGCACAGTACTGCTGTACTTTTACTAAAACTCTAGAACTTTGAAATCATACGACCACAGCAATCATCGGCATCCACATTCATCATGTCTTTTCTCTACACTGTTGACAAATTTACATGCGGTCCTGCAATTCTTTCAAAAGCCAAAGCCTCAGATCCAATTTACTCCATCATACCTTTCTTTCCCTGTGGTTCTTTGCAGTTGTCATGAAGGCAGGCACCCCAGGGTGACCACTGGGAGAGCAGGCAGTGGTGCTGGCAAGGGATGGAGCAGTGCTGGACGGCCGAGGGGGGCTCTTCACCAGCGCATAGCCTGGCATTTATAGGCCTGGACACTGAACAAACAAAAGGAACACAGGCAGGGATATACCGGGCTTAAGTCAAGCTCAGCCACACACAGGCCGCAATGGAGTGTATATGTGTTTGTGTTTGTGTTTGTGTGTGTGTGTGTGTGTGTGTGTGTGTGTGTGTGTGTGTGTGTGTGTGTGTGTGTGTGTGTGTGCAATTTCTGTCAGGTAATAAGAAATTGGAATTGGAATGTAAACAGAAATATGTGCTAGATGCTGTGAAGAGAGTGAAGAAGATGAGGAAGCATCAGTGTCGCTGGATGAAAAGTATGGAAGTAATTTAGTCCTGATTTGGAAGACAGTAGTATATTTATTAGTAAAGACTACAGCTTCAGATATTGTACACTGTGATGAGAAGCAGGGAAGGTTTAGCAATGCTTATTGTGGAGTAAAAAAAAAAAGTAGAAAATAAAAAGAACAGAAAGAAAATTGCTCTTCTCATCTCATGCCTGGCTCAGGAGGATATTAAATAGAGGGCAGCGGCCAGCTAAGGGAGTAAACAGGAGCTGAACAGGGAGATATTAAGGCAAGACACGGTATAACCAATTCACTGCTAAGCATGGCTGGTATCATTTGTAGAAAAGCTCAGAAACCTCAGCCACCTGTAATGGGCTCTGACATTAGTCTCTCAGATAGAATGAGAGGGCATTTTTTGCCTGTCCACACACAGGGATTTATTCAATCTAATATTCCATTTTGATGCACCTCCGCACATCATTGAGTGGCAAATTTCCATTTAAATGAGAGCCCAAAGAGGAATTCACTAAATGTCCATTGTGCATTTTGTCTTCTTACGAAAAGTAATTTACATGGTGTTTGATCTCCTTTGTAAAAATGAGATGCTTGCTTAAACACATTCATACAGTGCATAGTACAGATCTTTCCGCTTTGTTCCCCAAATTGTGGTTACTTGTTTTTGTCAATTGCATTACTGCAGTGGACAGCCAACAGGAGCAAATTGTTCTCCACATTGCCAGACCAAGGAGCTCTCCATATTGCAGGAATACATCTGTTTACATTAGCTAAAGCTGTGCAGGTCACGTAAAGGTAAATATTACATATTACGTATTGATCTTTGTCCCTCAAATCCATTGATTCAAAGAGCTGCCTTCATTGATTACATTCAGCTAACATATTCACTGTCCAAATACACCTCTGCTGAGTTAAAGGGGCATCCCACAGCAACTGTCAAAACTCCTCGGCTAAAAATGAAGCCACCCAGTGCACATCAAGCAGGCACACAAAATACAATATGGATGAGGCTAAATTAATATGTTATTATTAAACAAATGGTTATGTTTATTAGGCAGGAAAGACTATGATTTGCAAAAGAGAACTTTATAGTTGAAAGCCATTAAAAAATACCCACTGTGCTTAATTAAAAAGATAGATGAAATACTTGGTATGCATGTGCTCCTAGTTTTTCTTGTAATGATTGATTTTATAAGCCTAAAATATTTTTTTTTAATTAAAATTTTGTGAAAGAGTATTACTTTTTAGCACAGCCATTTGGAGTTCATAAACACACAGTAAAACTGGTTGCCTTGGTGATTCTTACATTTAGCTAATTTTGCATGCCTTCTCATATTCTGTTCATATGAATGCATTTACCAACAGTAATCTGGTTCTGGGTTGTTTACATTATACTAAATCTATGCGTACTATAAGTGCTTTGCAGATATTGCAAATGTAAAGAGGGTTAGGTCAAAGTGCCGTACTGTAAAAGGTTTTTAAGGTTTATTTGCTGTGTCTATATCTGTTGCATCAAGTTAAAAATGGCCATGGCCAAGTGCAGAACAGTGGAAATACAGCAGTGCCTTCCTTAATACATAGTTAAATAAATAAATATAAGGCCTCACAACAAGCTAAGCTGATATGGTTCAGGGGAGACCCACAGGGACATTACAATAGATACCGTCCATAATTTTACCTCCAAAGAAAAATAAACTATATGCAACATACTTTTTTACCATGTCCAACATGGTGACCAAAACAAAACAGACTGCAATTTATTTGCACAGTGCATATATTGTACATAAGCAGTAAATAGGACTTTTTCATTTTTACAGAAAAGGCAAAAAAAAAAGACAAGCAGATGTACAATCCCAAATAAAATTGTCTGAAGGTGGACATATTTTCACTTAAATCTGGAACTATTTGATCAAAAACATTACAAATCTGACATTCAATAGTTTTTGATACTCTGACACATACCCTGTCCGAAGCAAGTCTCCATAACTCTCTGGAAAAGTTCAGTGAACTTTGCCAACCTCTCCCTCAGTAGCTGTGTCGTCGTTCTTCTGAGGCGATTTATTTATAAAGAAGAAGCAGTTTGGCTGCACAATTACCATCTCCCTGCCAAGCTTAAACTGGCTGTCAGTGCTTTAAGACAAAAAACACAAAATAAAATGTGGTTCTCTCTCCTTTTGATTAACAGTAACTTACTTCTTTTATAACTTGAATTACCTACATTGACTGAATTTATTATCTTATGCCACCTGTCTATATTTTATTACAGCTTGTTAAATCTGCATGATACTAACATAATGCATAATAAAATAAGCATAATTCACAGGGGGAAGGATGAGCAGGTCCTGCCTGATGTTCAAAGTAAACTAATTCATCCCCTTTAATACTATACTGATATTTATGTTTAGTGAAAATGCCCATTTTCTCCTACAATCCAGGCTTGGCACAATTACACAGATGCTTGTACAATATAATGCAATCCTAGGTGTTCAAGTTACTGTGTCCACCCCCACATCAAAGTGATTTAGTCGGTTAGATTTCCCGCACTAACAATAATTGGAAAAGGAGGTAAGACTGAAAACACTAAAGAAATTAGACTTTGTGTGCATTAGATTATCCATGTGTGACTACAGTGACAGAGTTTAGGAATTACTGTATCTTGTGGTGTTTCCTGTGACATTTCCACCACGTCTCAACTATGAATCTTATGAAATCTTGCACCAAGCTAGTTGCTGTGATGACCAAAGCCCACCAGGCAGCTGTTGGTCCCATGTGTAAATGCTTTGTTTTGATTTGCAGCAAATAAACAGTGGATAGTTAGACAATAACAATGGCCTGAACTATAAGTTGTATTAGTCATATTGTTTGTTTTTAACAAATATCTTCTAGTGCACTCCAGGAAAGGTTATTTTCACAATGAAGCCAAATAAAGATTTTCCTGTGGCTGTTATATTAAAGTTAAAATTTATAATCATCTTCATCAATCATTATATATATTCACTGATTGTGGTTGTATTCAGGGATAATGATCTAAGAACAGAGACTGTCCACTGTTCATGATCAGTGGTAATTTTTTTAATATAGCACTTTTCAACCTGAGCAGGAAGAAGCCATTCACAGTACCTCTTATTCACCTATGCACACAGTGACAGCGACAAAGCTTCTGTGCTCATCTCAAGTAATTTCTTCAGTATCTTGCTCAGTTATTTCCTGGTGGCTGCCTCATGAGGCTGTGAGCATAATAACGATTTCTTGGCATGGCATAGACACTAACTGGTGTCTGCTCTGGTTCCCTGGCAACCTACCTACCAGCAATGTCAGAACTCCAGAAAATACAGGAAATGTAATCCCGTACAACCAGGGGTGTTGTGAGCTTTAGAGGTGCCAGACGTCCGACTGTGTTACCTTTGGACAGGCCAAGCTTAGCTGTGTTTTTCCAGTCTTTGTGCTAAGCTAAGCTAACCAGTTGCTGACTGTACTGTATTTACCATACAAACATGCGAGTGGTATCAATCCTTTCATATATCTCTGAGTAGGAAAGCAAATAAGAATATTTCCTAAAATGCCAAACTATTACTTTAATTTTCTTTTATTTGCATAATTATATACATACCAGGCAAACAGTTTAAACCCAGTGCAAACTGCTATCAATTCCTTTTCATGCTGTTTTGTGGTTTGCAGGTTCTCAACATGAAAAAAGTGCAAAGATTTTATTTAAAACTGAAAATCACTGTTGATGCTGCAACATAACATCAATTTCTTGCATTTACTTGAAATGAAAAAAAAAAACGTTAAACCTGTAGAGGTAAAATGAGCTATTTCACATGCAGAGTAGTGGGTCCCTGCTGCTCAAAGCCTTAGATACAGTATATTGTAGCTCAAGAAAACACAGTCTGAATAAAACAATAATCCGTATTGTCTACTTGCACTTTGAACATACTTTAAACAGCAACACAGCTACTTTATGATTGTTTTTTTTTTTTTTTGCCTGCATAACCAACATAATGCTCTGCTGCTAACTTTCACTTTAATAATTTATGCTCAGAGCTTATATCAAAACACACCACTGAGTTTACTGGAATTTATTCATGGTGTATCTCTTAAGTCACCATATGCTTCCAGCGAGCCCTGGGTCAACTGTGATGAAGGCACATTTTCTTACCCTCTTTCCTGTGATGTGGTGCTGAGTCATCAGGGACTTGAACACAGTAGGTCTTCCTGCTCTGGATCCCCCCTCCACACAGAATACTGATGTTAGCAAGCCGCCGGTCCTGCTGGCTCAGTAAGGGAAGGATGCGACATTCTCCCCAGTCAGTGGTCCTCCACACATACCTGACACAGACATGCACATTTTCAATGCAAACAAGAAAACAACAACTGAATGGAGTACCTTTCTGGTATGTCTTAGGAAGTATACAGGTGTGTCATGTTTGTGTATTTTCAGAAACAAAGCTTCAATCCATTCAGAGACAATTGAAAAAAAGATAGAGAATCAGTTAACACACAGTGGTGCCAGTTGTTTCAGAAAAGCTACACAAAGCAAAAGACAAATTAGCAAGAGCAGTCTCTGGCAAGAGCCTCTCTCCCAGTATGTCAGGAGGCGGGAGGCATGGTTATTTTGATTTCAGAACTTCTAAACAAATGTTTGGTTTCAACTATGAAAAATGCAGTGGTGCATAAAGCAATATTATTGGAGGAGTATACCAGAACAACAGCCTGTAGTAATCTATCAAATGCTTAATTTCCGTAATGAGTTTTCCCTAATCATGTAAATCCTCTGCTCTCAGGCACTCCGTGTAGAGTTAGCAAATAAAACAAAACCTACCAGCAGGGAAAATAATTCTCTATTGATTACTTTGTTTACTGCATGTAATATTAGGCAAAAACCTATCTTAACTCAAACGTTCCTATAACAATGAGGTTCTGTCAAACGTTGTTTATCATGCATGTTAAGTCCATTGGGTCAGGAACTCCCAACAGTGCAAGTGGTTATTGTAGTTGTCACAAGATAATTGAGGCAATGCCAAAAAATATGCACAAAGTAATTCAATAGTGAGATCATGAATATTTGCAGCCTCTAGGCTTTCTCTCATAATCATTCAGGTGAAAAAAGCTCAGAGAAGCTAAATTAAAAAACATTATTTGATTTTAGACTTTGACAATTTATGCATACACATCTGTATCAGGAAATTACACATGAACAGAGCTTTTGTTTCTGATGACTGTGAGATCAAAATTAGATGATAACCATCACTCTACCTGGGGCAGTTTGGAAGTAAATCTCCTATGATGTTGCAAGCTTCTTTTTCCTCAAGGGCAGGACATCGTTTCCCCCCTCCGACTGGGATCTGCGTCATGATCCGTGACCGGAGGCGGTAACCAGGAGACAGGTCGGTGGACCGGCAGGTCTTCGAGCAGGGACTCCACAATGACCAATCAGACGTCTGACAGTCTTTGGGCATCACACATGCCTGAAAGGTCAGGGGGGAGTTGTCCTTGACACAGAGACTGCAGATTACGAAGAAAAAAGAAGTTAAAGAAGAAAATAGTACAATTGCGACAACCGTTTTTTCATAAGATCCCGATCACAGTTTGAGAATAGAGTTGCTACAGGTATATAGAGAGTGGGGAACAAAACAGACGAGTGACAGATGTTTGGTGTGGTTGGGATTTAAATAGGTTGGTGGACAGATTTTAGGAAGTAAAAATGACCATCTGCTAGGATCTTGATTTTCTGATAATTATTCAATGCTATTATACATCAAAATAATAACATAGGTCTCCGACATAAAGTCGGCCTTTACAGAAATTGTACAAAGAACTGATATGCTCACTTAAAAATATGGAACAAGTGCATTAATCATGTAATTACAGCTCCCATTGTTTAATTTGGACAATTTAATTAGTTAGGTTATTAAGATGTGAGTACAATGCTCATTTTAGAATTTTAGTTTGTAATTAGGCTGTAATTAGAAAAGCAGAATGAGGCAGAACTCAGGTGGGAAATCCATATTCAAAAGCTTCTTAGTAAATACCATGCTAATCAGGCATTGTACTGTAAATGGTCCCTTCACACTCAAGCCATAAAGCCAGTGAACCTTGTATGCCTTGTCAGGGATAATAACATGCTAATATCAAACACATAACAAGAGAACCAATTTCAAGCCCCTTCATCCGAATGACATGGGACTAACAAAACTCACTACATCCAAACTGGTGTGATACTTAATACAATAAAGTTTAGATCCCTAAAGCTGCCGCTGCTTAGATTTTATTTAGCTGTGTGCAATTGTAATGCACTGCTCTTGGCTATACATTTTAAAGCAATGTCAAACAATAAAAATGCATCATTCCAACTGGATATTATTGATAAGTGGTTACCAATGCCTCCATGAATGGCAGTCGACAATTGATTTGAACTGCAAACTCATAGTGTCACTTTACACCAAGCAGATGGTTTAGTGGCATTCAGTCAATATAATATGCATGCAATGATTTTCTCTCTCCTTGAAAAGAAAGCACAAGATGGAATGTTGATTATTTCTGTATGTGTAGGTATGGATGCGTTTGTGTGTGTGTGTGTGTGTGTGTGTGTGTGTGTGTGTGTGTGTGTAAGTGCTTGCTTTTTGTGCGAGCATGTGCAGAAAAATCCATTCTTATCAAATCCAAATACCAGGGCTAGCTCAAACAGCAGGGACAGGAGGGGAGCAGCACTTGACATTTAGCACAATAGTGCCTCACCGAAATGCTAATTTGCTGGTGAAACACCAGCTCTCACATAATCTAGTTATAATTGAATAAATAACTGCCATCGATAAAAACCATTTTGTTTCAGTGAATACACCTCCACATGAAGAAAATGACCCACTGGGATCGTGTGGGGGATGACCATTTATCATGTCCCTGTCATGTTACGAAACAATAGCATGGAGGAACCATAAAAACAATCAACTCCATTAGGACTATTTCACCTGACACCCACATTCAGCTACAGTGTAATTTTTACAACTCACCTCATATGCTACACCAGTGGATGAAGAGATTAATGTAAGACAAATCCAGTTATCTGTACAGGTCTGTTCCCCAGACAACTACAAACCAGCTCTTTTCACACAGCCACCTTGCTTTCATTATAATCTTAGGCTTATCTTGGACCTTAAGAAATACCCTATTTTTCACTGTGCTTATTTCCCACATTTTAGCTTCATCTTTTTTATTTTCGCTGTATGAAAGGTGCAGCACCTTGCAGCATTTGTGATTGGCTTACCTCAGCATTGCATTCTGGCCGTCACTCCGTGTGCAGCGGACTTGTCGGGTCTGATATCCCACCTCCAGTTCCCATGACATGGGGTATTTGTTGTGCGCATGCTGGTGGTGGTTGTGGTGCTTATGGGAGTGGTGATGAGACACGTGTGTGTGCAATGTGACTGTGTTGTTCTCATTGGAGAAGAAGTCCACTGTGGTCCTACCACTTAACAGGGCATCCTTGTGATGGGGTAGTCGGCACGCACTCCAGGCCCCGACTTTAAGGCTGTACTGGTACTCACCCTCCCCAGCAGGGCAGTCAACAGGGCTAGAACAAGTCCTGGTCTCTGTCAGGTTGGGGCAGCTTGCACCTCCATACATTGGTGTGGCCAGGACATGTCGAGTCCGATGCTGCAGGCCAGCACCACAGGTTTTGCTGCAACTTGACCAGGAGGTGAAGTCTGAAACTACACAGTCCTGGGGGCAGGGGATGAGACATGCCTGCTCCACAGGGGGTTTCTGGGAAAAGAACTCACATATCCTCGAGGTAACTGTGGTACGGTTTGAAGTGCGTACACAGTGGACTTTGCGCCTCTGGATGCCATGCTGTGCTGTAATGCACTCAGCCGTCCTCAGTGTGAGCTCGTTGGAAAAGTAAGGGACAAGAACACAGCCTCCCCAGTCTGATACCTCCCACTCAAAAAGGTCCTGGTGCCAGTCGCAAACCTTAAAGCAGTGCCGCTGGCTTTCTGGCTTGTCCATGTGCTGGCAGTGGGTATGGTGGGTAGTCCAGCCCTCCATGTGGACACACCATATTGTCCGTGTCTGGACCCCGCCAGAACCACACTCCTCCCCGATGCACTGACCCCACTGGCCTGCAACCAAGAGAAGACACACGGAGGGCATTTTCATTAAAACCTGGAGCTTTTGGAAAAAAATGATGATTTAAATTGCAGCTATCTGGCAGCTTGCAATCAAGCAGAATTCAAGGCCATTCACTTAACCTCCATGATTGCTTTATTCATGAACTGAGTAAGAAAGGAAGAAAGGAACACAAAGTAATCAAACCACTGGTGGTCATCAATATCAAAAAGGTTAGTTTCTCAGTCACAAAGGACTAGATTCACTAGGGTAATTCTTCCCAAACTGATCAATATCTTAGGCTATGTAAGACATAGCCAGCTGTGCAACCACTTACTGTTCGGTGAGGCAATATATTGAGAAATATATGGTTTGGATTTAATAAATTATTGTTAATCTCATCTCAATAAAGCTACCTCCTCAACAGTGAAAGCATCTTGCCTGCAAAGATGAGACACTGTGCATAGAAGGTTTTTATAGATTTTTTGAGGAAAGACTATTGATTTTTACTTAAAATAACCCAAACCAGCCAAAGACATGTATGACATTTTGCTGTGGTCTGACTCTTTCCTCACAGCACACTAAGGACATGAATTATCTTAATGTGCAATTACCACTGCTGGCTGGAATAATTTAAGAATACAATCAGGACCTGTCTTAAAAGAAAATTCAGCAGTAAGGGATTTTCTCTCTATAAAAAGTGAGAAACATAATAATATAATAGTAATAATAATGCGATAATTCCCTTTATCATATAATTTTGAGTGTACAGAGCAAAAATACAAATCCAAAGAGATTTTTTTTCTCTTTTATTTTGTATGTTGATAGCTTTAGGAAGTTCTACCAACATTACAGTTCAAAAGTCATATTTCACAAGTTCTGACAGTTGATTCAGTCAATACGATTGGTCTTTATGCAAAGTTCAAAAATAGCGTAAGTGGTGAACTAACAGTCGTTTGATCCATTTGTCACAACTGCTACAACTACATGTTCCTTATAAATAAATGGTTCTCTTCTGGTTACATTATGTATAACAAACTCTGAAACATAGATGTTGTGGATAAAAATTATGAGAACACTATGATCAGTCATAGTGATAATTGAAGCTTAGGGCTTAGTGTTAAAAGACAAAAAATAACTAAGCAGCCAAGATAAACTACACTCACAAAGGTGCAAAAACCTGTTTTCACTTCTCAGGAAATGTCCAATAAATGTTGCATATAGTTGTGTTTTAAAAGAGAGAGAAAACTTCCCTTTCACTATCATATCTGAGTGATGATGTGGTTTATTCTCACTGAGTGAAACAGAACCACACTTGGCAGTCACTACTGGCAACATCAAAGTATGTGTGACTAAAGCACAGTCATTTTCCACCTCCGACAAATACTGGAGAGTAGAAATACTCTGTGGTCGGAGGGAACAAAATTGCTGATACCTTTTTCCCATTGTGAAAACTTGCATGGCCATCACATTGCAGCTTAAAATGTAATACGTACATGAATTCAAGGTGACCACAGCCTCTATTTCTGTGAAAAAGGAAACTCCAAACTTTTCACAGCCACTTTCAAGTCTACAGATGATATGACACTCAAAAAAAGCTAGATTTTGGATATAACTTTTTGTATTTCAGTTAATTTAATCTATCTGAAAATAAAATGAAGCTGAACTGTTCCCCATATGAATAAATAAAACAGTGTCAAATTAGAATAAGTATTAAAGTGACAAATAGAGGAGGTTGTCGCCTCCCAGCAAGAAGGTTCAAATCAACAGGCTGGCTGTTGGTCTGTACTAAATGTTGCAGTGAATAGCTACCAGACTGTTCATACACACATGAAAACAGCACAAAACAAACTATAGCCTAAGACAATTTAGTTAACAAGAGGCTGAATAAGTTTACGTTTGGAAAGTAAAACTTCACAGAGAGCTGGTTGTCATGTGCACTGATTCTTCAGTTGCTTCCTTTATGAAGTGGATTTTTCTCATTGACCATGCCTTTCAGTTAAGACTTGAATCTAGGTCTACTCTTCTATGTTCTCAGATCTATATCAGAATATACCAAGATTCACTGTTGCATGTTGTGCTAATGTCTGCAGAATATGTAGATTAAGGTTATTAAAAAAGGCTAATTAAATTGCAATTTTATAAAATGCTAAATTAATTAGTGATTCATAAAACCCAATCCAAAAACGGATTTGAGCCCTGTTAATTTAGTGTATGACCTTTTGTCCTCAAGAAAAAAATGAAATCAATTTACTGATATGATCTGCGTCGGTCACGTTTGCTTCTCATCCACTTATTTTGCCACATGCTATGAAAAGGATAATTTGATTCATTTATTCTAATTGGAATTAAACTGATGTAATAATGAGATCCTACAGCTCCCTAAATTGCTTTTGAATGACAACTTGCTGAAACTATTCTATGCCTTTTCCTGCCAGAGAAATCTGTTGTTAACACTCTGTTCCTTGGCCAATCATCGACATGACAACACTGCGTTGGAGCTGTTGTTTTCTGCTTAAGGGGGCAATATTTCAAACTGCTGAATTGTTTCATAGTTCATCGAAGCACATCATTGAGTTTATTCAACTTGGCTTTGCAATGTTAATGGGGACTTACAGTGTAACTAACATCATTATGCTCATATGATCTTTTAGTCTTTTTTTTTTGTTTTTAAAGCAAGTGCAGTACAGAAGACTGAACACACCAATGACAAAGCTCAAAGGAATTCACAATAATTGTATTTCTTTACTTCTATTTGTCCATTAGTTTAATTTCAGGACCTAGGACTTACAATTTAACATAAAGAGGTGCAGCAATGTTACAGTGTTAGACACATTGTATTCCAGCAGATGTAAAGAAGTGATGCAAACTAAAAATACTGTCACAACAATTATTATAATATTTTTTTCTTCTTTCACGCTGCAGCTAAATGTCAAATATTATTATTCAATATACGCTGCATTGAAAATGAGCTTCATAAAAATTAGAAACAAACAAAAATAGCTGAAAATAGCAGAAAGCAGCAAAAAAAAAAAACTTGTTTCAACTACATGCACTGCCAAAAGTGGACCTATACCAATATACTGCAAATTTGTTCTGATTCTCACTACATTATGTACCACTGACTACTCTGCATATTTCCATCAATCATTATGTATGTGTGTATGCGTATATAGGCTGCAACATGTTGTATTATACTGAACTAACATGATTTTGTGTGAGTTTGAATTGATAGTTTGAGCTCTGGTTTAAGCCGATGTGAACTGCCAGGCTATTTGCTTACAAACTCAAAGGCACTTGAAGCACTTTGAACAGGGGAGACATGTTGTTTCTGTCAGAAAAGAGAAGAGACTATGCAAGATCACTCACAGCTTGAAAACATATGAAAACATTTTAATTAGGCACATTAGACAGTAGATATCAGTCAAATTTAATTTCAAAAAGTCTAGTCATAAACCATCAACATTTCTGCTCTGTAATGTGCTTAAAGAGATGTTCTCAATTCCGTCAAAGCTGACAAGACCAAAAATATTCTTATATGGGTTACACCCTAAAATAGACATGAAAAGCCTTTCACAAAAATAAGATATGAGCAGCAATTCACAGCTGAGCCTAAAGACCTGAGCTAAGTACACTGCTCTTGTGGTCACTGATGGCACTCTTTCATGTTAACCACTCTTTCATCAGCGTGACCACGTCTGCTCAATAGTGCTGTTTTCACACTGTGCCAGGATACGTGTTGCGTGATTTATGGAGGGGTGATTGGGAGTGATTCCGCTGCCAGGGGAGCCAGCTAACACAAGCACTAGTTCATCTCCAAAGCTCTGAATAATCACTCTCTCGATCTGTCAGCATCAGCATCTGTCAGCCCCTCAGGAGGAACCAGTCACCCACAGCTCCTTCATTCCTGTCGCACTTAGTCGCCGTGCTTACACCTCTAGGGGGCTCTGGTACCCCCAAGGGCCCCTGCTATATTTACTATTCCATTTACGTCCTGGTATAAGAAAAAAAACTGACTTGGCGAGAGCAGACTTCACTACAATACAGGAAAAGACAGAAATTAAATTTAGCCGGTGTAGCGTGACTGAATACGTATTCTCTTTTTCAGCAGTGTTCAGTTCAACCTTAAGTTGGACGAATGATAGCAAAGCTGTACGACAATAACAAGTAACACAACAAAAGCAATCTCCACTATGCCCTGAAACCAGACAGATGGAGACAAAGAAAAGCAAATAGCAAAGCAGTAAACTGTCTCTTAAACAGCAGCAAGCAGTGCTCCGTCAAGAGAAAACTGGACTCACCACTGTTAAATCTTTTGCCTCTCTGGTCTCTTTAATTACATTTGGTAAAAGCGTCAGGTCAGTAAAGTCTTATAGGATTTCTTGGTACTAAACTTTCCAACTTTATGCCACCATTTTGCGTCTGTTAATTTGCTGTGTTTAGCTGTATAAAAAACATTAATTGGTGATTTACTTCAGTGGCATATACAGAGAGCACATAATATCTTTCTTTCTGCGATGCAGCTTTTTGTGCATTTTCCTCAAAAACATCTGCTGAGTTTACTCTCCATCCATCTTTAACTTGCCTGAGTTTAGTTTGACTCTTTGGATACATGCGTCTTTTGTCACAACACTTTTTAATTAAATGATACCTATGCCACTGAGCCTCATTATGCACAGAGCCGTCCCCCATGCCACACTTCCATCAGTTGTAATTTATGAGCAGCGAGGTGCATCCTCAATTACAACATTCATATATGCAGAAATTCATCAGATTATCATCAGGCAGTCAATCCATCTCCAGAAGGCCTGAATCAGCTCATTTTAAGCAAGTGTTTATGTAGCAGGTTAGAAGGAAATTTGTGAAATGTGAGCAAAAGGAGTTAAAACTCATTGCCTGAGGACATTTCACAAGCAAATGAAGTGACAAAAAACACTCATAACCTGCAGCTAAAAATAATGTGTGATAATAAAAAGAATGAGCAACTACAGTGAGAAGTTTGACCTTCCTGCTT